GTCGCGTCGCGTCGCGTCTCGTCGCGGCGGTCAGCTGGCGCCAACCAGCTTTGGCTCTGGCAATCTCCCACTACCAGAGACGATATTTTGCCTCGTTAATCTTGCTTTATGATCGCCGCTCCATCTAAATCTCCCGTTCGACTCTTTTCGTTCACTCGTCTCGCGTATCTCGTGCTCGTCACTCGTAATTGACGCATCGTTCGACGATTTGCCGAGTCTCGGGATTCGGTACGATTCGAAGGAACGTCGCGAGAAGGATGGAATCGTTTACGAATAAACGAGGATTAACGGACGTTAAGGCACGTGATTCGGTTAGGTTTTCACGATTCTTTTTATCTCGAGCGTGTTAGAGCGTTAGAAACGGTTGAAAACTAGCATAGTTCCGGAATGTAGACGAATCGTCGGGAGACCGAGAACGATGTCGGAACAGAACGAAAAGGGTGACTTTGTCTCGTTCCATTTTCGTACGGGGCACAGCGAATTCGAGACGCGAGCAGCCCATTATTATTCGTGGCGCGTAACTGCCAAAAATTAAACGATGCTCATGAAAGCAGCCAAACGCACCTGCGCTTCTTAGCAGGTGCGCGCGTAAAATTTCTCCCCGTGTCAGAACTACGCAGTTAAGCGGTGTATCGCGACCCGTTTTATTCGGCCTTGCGTCTCGAAAAGCGCCGCGGCGATTTTACCGCCTCGCGCGATCTTGCGCGCTTTTCGATTCGACGCGACGACCGAACGAGTGCAAGTCTTTCGAAACGATGAAATTACGAAGTCGACTTCCGCCTTCGACGCGTTTCGTGAAAAATCGGTGAATGACGGCCGATGGGCCGCGCTAACGCGCGAATCATCAAACTCTTTCGATTCTTTTCCTATACCGAAACAATTACGATAGAAGCCGACGAAGGAAAAGATGGCTCGTCGGGTTTGCCACGGATATAGGGAATAAAAATGTCTGAATAAAAGAAGAAAAGTTTCGTTTTCTTAATTTTCTTAAAGTCGACAATTTATTTCCAAGTTAGATGACGAGTAATCGATGGATCGGTGCACCACCGTCCGACGACGATTCTTGCAACGACGAATGCGCGCGTATTAACTTGTCGTTGCGTATTTTAATACATGGATCGACAACGATTCGCGTAGATGGTCGTCGATGAATCCTGGCGCAACCGGTTGCAGCTACCGAACCAACCTCGTCGTATCCGTATCACGCCTCTCGCGCGTTCATCGTTCACGCGTTACAGAAACTTCCAGGTGAATCAACTTCCTACTCGTTTTGTAGAAAATTTTCGTGACGAGGTTGGATCGATTTTTATTCGATTTTTATTAGAAAGCCGAGTCGATGTCCGATCGATGCTCGAAATCGAAAAAGATTGTTCGCGTAGCGCTTGAAATTTTGCGAATCGACCTATCGAGCAGCGACCGTCGATAGTTGTTCGATTCCGAATTTCGGTTAGAATTTTTCGCGGTCAATCGAAATACAGAAAATTGAAGGTGATTAAACGCGTTTTCTCGTTGAACGGCTGTTACCTGGATTCTATCTGTATTCTATCCGATTGTAGCCGACCGCGAACGAGTAGAACCGAGATAAAACTAAACGGCTAGAGAATCGCGAACGGTGGGATACGGTGGGAAAGGCTAAAGATAAAAGTTAGTCGTCGCGCGGATCGGTATAGTTGGCTTCAGTCTTCTTTTCTCTTTCTCAGTTTGCCTTCGGTCTGGATGGTCCTGGATACGAGATCCACGCAGGTCCTCAACGAAGCACCGTTGGTCTGTTCGTGTTCGCCGGCATCGACGATTTTACCGAGAGTCATGATGTAACTGCACGCGATTCTCAACACGGACAACTTGGACAATTTTTGATTGTGAGAATAAGCGGGAATGGCTCGTCTAAGAGTGTCGAACGCGGCGCTTATCGTGTGCACTCTCGTTCTTTCTCTGGCGTTCGCTTCTATTCTTCTTTCGCGGGTCATGTTCTTGTAATTTCTTTGCTGGCCCGTTATCGAATGTTGCCTCGAGTGGCCGGTTTGGACATTAGTCATCGTTGTCGCGGTTGTCGCGGTGGCAGTTGTCGTTACGATCGCGGTTGTAGACGTCGCCGTTGAGAAGGAACTACCGACGGTGGAACAGTCGATTCGATCGTTCGGTTGACGACGGAACGACGAGGACGAGGATAACGATGACGACGACGACGAAGACGATGACGAGGATGACGACGACGACGACGACGACGACGAGGACGCAGAGGAGGCGGAGGAAGACGAGGACGAAGAGGATGACAAGGAGGATAAAGAGGAGAGCGAGGAAGAAGATAACGGCGATGACAACGAGGCGGTCGAGACGTTTGGAGGTTCCACGGTATACGAACAGGATTTTTCGTAACTACCGTTTATCGCTGGATGCGAGGGTACTCTGCTGGTTACGTCTCCTCTCAGAACGAGCGACAACGGTTCTTCTTGCGATCCAGGACGCGTGATCGCGTCGGCCGTCGTCGACGATGTTGTTTCCGCGATGGTCGTTACGCCTTCGGAGAGAGTCGCGCAATCGAATTTTTCGCGAGACGTCTCTCGCTCGTGGACGCGAAGGGGACGAATTTGCGTGGAATGTCGCGATCTTGGAGGTAAATGTTCCCGGACCCGTGACTCGTTTCGTCTTCTTCGAGATTCCTCGTCTCCGTCGGCGTTCCCGCGAGCCTCGTTTTCGCTATTAGCCAGACTGATTCGCTTGGAGGCAGCGGACGTTACGGACAACGACGCGGTCGATCTTTCGTTGACGGTTTTGTTCGCTGTCAGCGACATAGAGAGTTTCGAATCGACGTTCTTGCCGGAACAATTCCACGGTCTGAAGGGACTCGGCGATCGAATCGTTCTGGATTCTTCGTCCGGCACAGTTTCCTCCTCGATTAGCTCGAATCTTCTTTTCTTTAACGGTGCCGTGCTCGGTTCATGAATTTTCCGTGGTTCTGCCAATTTTCTTTTGTTCTTTAATGAAATCGGCGTTACTTGCACCTCCACGCTATCCTCGGAGGCGCTCGGCGAATGAAAACCGGACATGTCGTCTTCGTCGCCTCCGCTACAGAAACCAGCGTCCTTTTCGGAGCCCGCCATTCCACCGGCTGAAACGAAACAAACGTAAACGCGCGTGAGATTGGTCATCGATCGTTTCGCTATCGCTCGTCGACGCGTAGAAATCGTCGAAAGAACGGGTGATCTCGTTTCTTTTCAGGAGAAGGATCGTTTGATACGCGAAGCGTGCCGAGCGCGACGGTTCGATTTTTCGTCTCGTCTCGTTCCCGTTTCGGCGAAATCTCGCCGTGCGCACCAAGGAAACGGAATGTTTTCGGTCTCGACGCGTCATGCAACTGGTACCATCTGGCGCACAGGACTGGCCAAAGATCGTAATACGCCTAACCCATCTTTCTCTTCCCTTTCGTTTTCGTCTATTTCCGTTCCCGTCTTGTCCTTCGTTCTCGCTTTTCGTTTCGTCCTCGGCATCGGATCCGACGTATTTCCAACCTTCCGTGTATTTCGCTATATTAGTTAGACGACCAGGTCATCTGTATCATTCGCAAACGCTTATCCGTTGCACGAATTTCGATAATAGACTTTCTAACCTTAGTATCTTTAAAAATAAGATACTACCGCTAATCTGTAAAATCGCAAAGGGCCAAAAAAGTATCGAATACCGTGACAATGTTCGATTGTGCGAAAAGCAAAACACGGAAGGAGAGATAGGGAAAGAGAGAGAGAGAGAGAGAGAGCATACGACACTGGCGCCATCCATCGTTTCGCGTCGCTTGCCTTGTTCTTTTGCCTTTTGCGGAATCGGCCGTGCGAACACGCGCGTCTCTGATCCTTCTACGGATCTCGTATATCGTATCGTATCGTATCGTGTCGTATCGTATCGCATCGTATCAGATTTTTTCCTACCGATTGCCATCGTATTTTTTGATTTTATCGCGATCGAAAGGAACGCGATCGAGTAAACGAGTAGGACGGGGTGGACCGCTTCGCAAGACGAATCGCGATAGGTACGTTCGAAACCGTCGAGAAGATAAAGCTGTCGAAACGAGTCGAACCGCGAACGAGATCGATTTCCTCGAAAGTCACAGGTACCGAGGACAGTGTGGACGAATAAAATGGTTCGCGCACCTGGCGACAATGCGAGTCTAAAGAATTTATCGCAACCGCGATAAGCGTACTACCTCTGTTTTCGGTATCGAGCACATCTGCTCGCGCGCGCTCTCTCTCTCTCTCTCTTTCTCTCTTTCGGCCACTTTCACGCGACGAATCGAAGAGCGCGTATATACTCGTCGGCGAATACGTAAACTAGGTAGCGTTCGAAAACCTAGGAAACCGATAAAGAGAAAAACGAAGAAGTATCGATAAGCAACGAGGCAACGGAGAGAAAAGTCCATAGTAAACTTGCTTTTTCGACGCGAAACAAAGAACAGCTTGCGTCGCGAACGCGTGTCTCTGGTTCATGCCCGCGAATATCTTCCTTCCACCTTTGTCGTCTCGTTCGGCAATTGTTCAAACAACCCGAAATAACATCTGGACATCTGTGTAAACTCGTGCTAAGGCGCGCGGTTTAACGCGCACCGACTATCCCACCCATCTTTTCGTCCGGACTCGGCCGGCCCGATCCGTTCTCAACACTTTTCCTTTTTTCCTCTTTCTCTTTTTCCCATCTATACTTTGCTTCCGATATTCCTACAACCGTTTACTCTCGACCGTACCGATCGCGTCTAATTTGCCGCTTTTTAATGTTCGTTGATCAACGCATCTTTCGAAAGATCTTTCGTTCTCGAACTCGCGCGAAAATTATTAAACGGGCTACGTCCACGAATTCGAGAAGAAGAAGAAACATTTTCATTTTCGATTATCCGAATTCGTTAATTAGCGATACATCGCGTACAGAATCGCGTTGCCCTCGCGAAGCGAACAAGGATCCTCGAGGCAAGAGCAGCGTGTTTTGCGACCAAGGACCAAAGGAGAGAAGAGGAGAGGAGAAGCGAGGCGAGGGAAGCGAAGAACGGACAAAAAGGGAAGGTGGCGCTAGCCAGATGGTGTTCGCGTCCACGCGCGAGTGACGTTTAAATCGATATCGTTGGCTGTTACGATTTTGCGATCTTAGACGTTCGTTCGGAGATTTCGCGAATGTACCATCTGAATTCTAAATTCTAAATTCTAAATTAATTTAGTTTCAACTATGTCGCATTTAAGTTCGTTTAGTTTTAAGTCCGCGTATTTCACGGGAAATTTATTTGACCGCGAAGGATCACTGTCGTGGAACGCCTCGCGTTCTAAGAACGTCGGTGGCACAAACGATTCCGAATGAACGCGAACCGCGCGCGTATCGGCGTCGTAACGTCGACGCGTCGCCGTTCGAATCTACCGTTTTTTCTTCGTCGAACGATATCGTAAGATTTTTTGCTCGGGAATCGAGTATCGCGAGCACGATCGGTGAATGGAAGAAGAGCAATTAAACGGAGAGAAACTGTGCAACCGAGAAACGAACAGATGAACTGGAAAAGAAATAAAGATGGGATTTCGCGAAGAAAGGAAGGTAAGGGGAGAGAGAGAGAGAAAAGAAGAGAAAGAAAGGTGAGTGGAAAGATCGGCAACGTTTCGAGAGGTAACGCGGATCCGACGGAAGAGATCCGGTTCAGGTAGCAGGTGCGATTTTGCGTACAGGTGGGTGGAAGGTTCGGCTCGCTCGTCGTTCACCGTAGGCAGTCTTCGTTTCTCCGTTGCTTTTCGTCGTCTTTCTAGCAGTGCGTACCTGCGCGTACCTGTCCGACGTACAATGCGGTATCGATTACGCTCGAAAAATCTACTTTAACCGACAAACGCGTTTCTCGCACTTCCCCTTTCTCCTGAGCTGTCCCAAAGGCGGAAAACGGACCGTACTCTCAGGATCGAGGTTACTCGAAACTTTTCGTAAAACTTGCAGAACGAGACGATCGTTTCGTTTCGATCGAGAACGACGGCGCGTTTCGTTTTCGCGAGGAAGTAAAAGCCGCTCGCTCGCGAGTAAACGGCGTTCAAAGAGGAAAACGAAGCGGTGTCGTGGGAGCGAAAGAAACGAGGAAGAAAATAAGTATTCGGAGAAGCTCGAGAGCAAATGGCTAGCGATTAGACGGTGAGTTTCGAGTTTGGTCAAGGGGTCGTTTGTTTCGTGCGAGTCGCTTCGGTTGCTGCCGTTGCTGCTGGCTCGTCCGTCTGTGTGGCAACCCACGCTGGCGCCGCCGCGCCCTATCTCTCTTTCTCCTTCTCCGTCTCCTTCTCCTTCGCCGTGTCTCTTGCTACGTTCCTCGCGGACGACGTTCTCCGTCTCTCTCTCGACCTCTCGCGTCGAGTGGCTGCCAGACTCGTGCGTATACACCTATACACCTATACCTACGTCTATGCTCTCGCTCTTTCGTTTTCTCTCCCTTTTCCTCGTTCATAGAGGAATTCGCGTTGTCCTTTTCGGAGCCGCGTGTCTCCGCGCAGCTAAACCAGTCGATCTCTTTCTCGGGGACGGCTGGCGCCGTTCGTAACAACAATTATCGTTCCCTGTGCAACTCCCACCATACGCGATACCGATCAACGAAATAACGACGTTTCTCCGCATAGGCGATCTTACGATTTTCTTGCTCGATCGACGAATGATCGACGAATGATCTACGAACGATCTCTGGATCGTCGAAACGTGGGAATCGCGCGAACGTTTATCGCGCCAGAGTTCGACGATCAGAGATCGCCTACGGCTCGGACGATGTTTCGCGGAAGAAACGAACCGTCGCGTCGTTCCGAGGGAGTATCGCGTGGGACGATGCGTCGAATACGGCTACGATATTCACCTTTGATCAAAGTAGACAACTCCGTGATGGATTCCAGCACGCGACGGGTCATTTTCGTCCGTGGTTTTAGACACGAGTCGTGCGTGGTTCGATGCGCGCGTTAAACACAGACTTTTCTATTCTTGATCACCGCACGCGCACCACTGCTATCGCGCACTGTTTTTCGTGGGGTGGATCCCACGGTACACGTGTAGCGGACAGGTTCACGGGTACCGGCAAACGCGTTCTTCTCCCTTTTCGTATTCTCCCACCCGTTCTCGTTTCTCGCGCACTGTTCGTGGTCGATCGTCGTTCTTTCACTTCGGTCGAAAGTCAAAGTTTTCGAATCACCGAGAAAAACAAGCTCGACTTAATCGCGTTTAAATCCGTCGAAGCTTCCGAGTTTGGAGCGGAGCCGAGTCGAAGGACCGGAACGATTGCGGAAACGGAGCACGACCTCGCTCGATCGCGGTCGACCATGTACTGACTCGCCTCGCGCGTTCGAGTCTCTTTCATCGCGTACGCGTGCGAGGGAGTCCCGACTACTGGCCTGCGACTTTACTGCCTCTAACCTTACTACCGCTACCACCACCACCACCACCACCACCACCGTCGCCGCGACCACGATTACCACCACTACTATCACGATTATTAAACGCCGCTACCAATGTTCGTCCGCGCGATGTAATCGTTACTACCAACGTAACGAATCTCACGGTTTCCGCGTTATCGATAACGGCGAGCGCCGGCCGCGATAAAAAGCCCGAGCGAATCTCGCGCGAGATTCGGTTCGTTCGGCGAGGAATCGTTGAACGGTACGCGAACGATGACAACGGCGCGACGCGACGCGACAAACGGTGATGCTGGCGTTGGCAGTGTCGCTGCAGCTGGTATCGGTATAGGAGTAAACGTTGGTGTTGGCGTTGACGTTAGCGACGATGCCAGGCGAAACGATCGGGGGAGAGGCGCATTGTTGGCGGCAAGAGGCAGCGGGGGCCGACAGCACGGCGCCAGCCGGCGAGAGTTTCACTCGGCTTCTCCGCCGAGTCCATCTTTCCTTCCCACCTCCGCTGCTTCTTCTTTCTTCCTTTCCTGTCCCTTCCTGTCCTTTCCTGTACCTTTCTATCCCGCGACGTCGTCTCTTTCCTCTCTCCTTCGTCTCTTTTCCGTTTCTCGCTCTCGGCCAGACTTTTCTTCGTTATCTTCTAGAACTTCTATAGTTCCCGTTGCTTCGTTTCTAGCCACGTATCGCTCGAGGTAACGTTAGTTTACAATTTTTCCTTGCCTAACCTTTTCTTAATACCTCTTCCCTTCTTTGACCCGAACCTAATCGAGCTTTCTTTGTTCGCGTGCCTGTTCGGCCTGTACCCCGTATAGCCTTCGCGTCTCGTTCCTTTCGCGTTCGACTCCGACGCCAGGGATAAAAGGTCGTCTCTGTTTCTACCTCTGCTCGACCATTTATGACCGGAAAAATCCCCCGAATCGTCCCGATCGTTCAACGATCGTACGCGATCTCATCGGTTCGTACTCGACCATCTGCTACGCTGCGATCGAACTTTTACGGACTAATCGCGAACGTTTCGTCGTCCTCTCCTCTATTAAAAGAAAATTCTTCTTTCCGACGAATAATCTGTTACTTAGTTGGACAAGCGCGACGTAGCCGACGTATCTCGGCCAGCCGATCGCTCGCGGTTCCCGACGGTTCCCGACGGTTCCCAACATCGTTCGAGCGTTTCTTTCATCGCGTACGTAGAATTCGTATTTACCGGTTAAGGTAATTCGCTTGTTTTGTTTTCTTTTCTCGGCCGGTCGTATCGTGGAACGTTTTGTACATACATATATTCGAACGAAATCGAGCGAGCCGAACAATGGACGGGAACCCCGGTGCGAACGCGGTCGTCCAGTATCTGCGAAACATATGCGCGGATAGGGGTACGTTAAGGGTATTAAAGAGAAAAGGCAAACGGCCCGGGCCAGCCGATTTGTCGGGACGCGTGTTGACCAGATGGGACGAAAAAGGCCAAGGAAATTCCCAAGGGCGAAACCGTTCTCTCGGCTCGGAACGCGTTCGACCGAGTTATCGATCGACGCCGACCGCGCTGACAACGTATACGCGTACACGCGTACCTCTAAACGATGTTTCTCCTAGCTTTCTTCCTGGACGAAGATCGCCAGGTTGAAAATATTCGCGGCCTAATCGGGCGTTGGTTTTTTCGCGAATTTCGAGATGACGGCGAATCGTTGACAGTTTCTGGGAACGATCGATGTTTCCAGCCCGCGGTACGAAGTGGTAACCCGTCGGGCGAGTTTGGCAAGGGTCTTCTCGTTTCCGAGGGCGTCGCGATTTGTCGGTATCCCCACCGCGACGTAAGTAGCGGCACACGCACCTGCCGTTACCGCTCGTATAGTAGTGGCCGCTTACTAACGATAAATCTTACACCTTGCTTCGTTCCCGATCTTCTCTTATCCGTGTTCCTTTCGTTTTAATTGCTTCGACGATCGACTCGAGAAGATCCCGACGTCGTTAGACCGCTTTAAGGTATTTCGCGCGACGAATAACGCGTTCGCGTGTACGCGGTGCGCTAGCCTGCTTCGTATCCCTAAATATTTGATAGGCTACGCGCGGCTACGCGTGTCCGCATCTGCGCCAGTGTCAGCTTTAATTATTAAAGCTTTGCCATATGTCCATTCTCTCCCCTGCGTACGAATCCCTCCCAATCGTCGCTACTTTCTTCTCTCTGGCTCCGTTTACAAGCTACACCCCTTTCTTTTTTTCTTCGCTAGCGATCCTCTTAGTCGATAATCGCGTTCCGCGGCTGTTGCTAACTCGTAACGCCCTTTACTTTGGCCCGCGTCATCGAAACGTTGCGTTTCGCATATATCGACGTAGAGTTCTCGTGGCTGGCATAGAGGGTAAAAATTGAATAGGCGAAATTCGTAGGACGGTTTCCTCTTCCTCGACGAGTCAAGGTTCGGCGCGTTCTTATCCGATCACGATGGGCGCGGAGTAGCAGGTGGCGATCGACTCGATTCGGCTCTCGGAGGTAAATGCACCGGCGTGCATTTGGTGCGGCGCGGCCGACGAGAGGACGAGAGGACGAGAGGACGAGAGAACGCGCGTGCGTGTCATCGGCGGACGGCCGAATTATTTCGCGTGGTCCGCGCGCGGTTCTTCGCACCTGCCGTTGTCGAATAAGGCAGCGTCATCTTTGCCCGTCGATTTTGCTTGACGATTTTGCTCGACGTTCGATTCCGTTCGGAAAACACGATCGTTGCGTCGATACTTATCGCGCGCGATGCTCGAGGACCGAATCGAATTCGTTTCCATTTAATTGGAAAATTGCCCGTTTCGCTGTTCGGCCTCGTGTTCCGCGGTCGAGCCTAACGAACGAGAGAGACGCGGACGCTTCGGGCGGTATTTCAGCGTTTTCGTTCATCCTTGGAATTCGAGAAGGCGTACTCGTGTTCGCGAACGGTTTGGCCCGCAGGAAACTAGCATTAAAGGTTTATAGTAGTAATTTGTAGCCGTTCGGGTTCGAAGAGAGATCGGCAGAGGCTCCCACGCTTGGCCGCCTAGCTACGCGATGATGGAGCGACGGAATCTTGCTTCGATATCCCGCGCGTCTCGTTCGGTAGCGGTCGGTAGTCGACGAGTAAATTGTTCGCGGTCGGTCGATCGATCGGATCGAGTCGAGTCGAAAGTACGCCGTACGAAAGTACGATAGTCGACGATTAAATCGAATTATATGCGATTTGCGTTTCGGGTAATCCTATAGAGGTGCTCGAAGCCGCGAATATAATAGAATAGAAAGTTTCGGTGGTCGGATCGAAGAGCGATTCGCGCGAGGGGTTTGGCGTATCGACGATCACGAGATAAGGAGCGAAGAAGGTACGTCGTAGCGGCGGCGCCGTCGATAGAGGGAACGAAACTTGCCGGAGCTCAACAGGTGGGTCGATCGAGATCGGGACGAGAGAACGAGAAAGCTGGAGAGCAGGGGGAAACGAGGGAAAGAACGAGAGGCGTATAAACCGTACACACAGAGGCGCGCACACGTACACCCGTGTATTACGAGGAAGAAAGAGAGGAAGAAAGAGAGGAAGAAAGAGAGGAAGAAAGAGAGGAAGAAAGAGAGGAAGAAAGAGAGGAAGAAAGAGAGGAAGAAAGAGAGGAAGAAAGAGAGGAAGAAAGAGAGGAAGAAAGAGAGGAAGAAAGAGAGGAAGAAAGAGAGGAAGAAAGAGAGGAAGAAAGAGAGGAAGAAAGAGAGGAAGAAAGAGAGGAAGAAAGAGAGGAAGAAAGAGAGGAAGAAAGAGAGGAAGAAAGAGAGGAAGAAAGAGAGGAAGAAAGAGAGGAAGAAAGAGAGGAAGAAAGAGAGGAAGAAAGAGAGGAAGAAAGAGAGGAAGAAAGAGAGGAAGAAAGAGAGGAAGAAAGAGAGGAAGAAAGAGAGGAAGAAAGAGAGGAAGAAAGAGAGTGTCGAATAAGGCAGCGTCATCTTTGCCCGTCGATTTTGCTTGACGATTTTGCTCGACGTTCGATTCCGTTCGGAAAACACGATCGTTGCGTCGATACTTATCGCGCGCGATGCTCGAGGACCGAATCGAATTCGTTTCCATTTAATTGGAAAATTGCCCGTTTCGCTGTTCGGCCTCGTGTTCCGCGGTCGAGCCTAACGAACGAGAGAGACGCGGACGCTTCGGGCGGTATTTCAGCGTTTTCGTTCATCCTTGGAATTCGAGAAGGCGTACTCGTGTTCGCGAACGGTTTGGCCCGCAGGAAACTAGCATTAAAGGTTTATAGTAGTAATTTGTAGCCGTTCGGGTTCGAAGAGAGATCGGCAGAGGCTCCCACGCTTGGCCGCCTAGCTACGCGATGATGGAGCGACGGAATCTTGCTTCGATATCCCGCGCGTCTCGTTCGGTAGCGGTCGGTAGTCGACGAGTAAATTGTTCGCGGTCGGTCGATCGATCGGATCGAGTCGAGTCGAAAGTACGCCGTACGAAAGTACGATAGTCGACGATTAAATCGAATTATATGCGATTTGCGTTTCGGGTAATCCTATAGAGGTGCTCGAAGCCGCGAATATAATAGAATAGAAAGTTTCGGTGGTCGGATCGAAGAGCGATTCGCGCGAGGGGTTTGGCGTATCGACGATCACGAGATAAGGAGCGAAGAAGGTACGTCGTAGCGGCGGCGCCGTCGATAGAGGGAACGAAACTTGCCGGAGCTCAACAGGTGGGTCGATCGAGATCGGGACGAGAGAACGAGAAAGCTGGAGAGCAGGGGGAAACGAGGGAAAGAACGAGAGGCGTATAAACCGTACACACAGAGGCGCGCACACGTACACCCGTGTATTACGAGGAAGAAAGAGAGGAAGAAAGAGAGGAAGAAAGAGAAGAAGCAGAGAGAAAGAAGGAGAGAGTAGCCTAAGTGCATTCTTAAGCAGCTTTTCTCCGAGCGCAGTCGCGCCGCGATCGTATTTCATCTCGCGCGTATACGGCACCGTTTATTTCTCACGTTCTCGAAGCTCGAGGGCTTCGGCTTCCTGACTTACGGTCCTTGAAATATCGCGCACCAATTACCTGTTACCGAACAACGTGCCAACCAGTTCCCACTATTCGTCGCTTCGTTCGCGATTCGAAAGAGAATTTATCGAACGTCTCTCGAACGCGCGTAGTCGCGTACGTGGAAACGGTACAGGTTTCGGGTCGAGCGAAACGACGCGACGCCGACGACGAAGGTTTCTCCGAGATTCGAGTCGATCCGTTTGGTCGAAACGCGCTACAGGTGCACGGAGCCTGGGACCGGACCACTCGTTAAACACGCCTCGATGCACCTGCCGCGCGACCGCACGACCGCACTGGCTTTGCTTACCCTTCGTCGCCACCGTTCGCCCTATGATCTCCGCCCTTCGTCCATCGAACGGCACCGTTCGTTCTTTCGCATTCTCCCGATTCTCCGTTCCGTATCCACCTACTCTCAATCTTATCATCCATACTCTTTCCCTCGATCTTCGACGTTTAAGCGTTCGATTCGGTAATCTCGAGCGTCTCGTAACTCGTCGAGGAAAACGAACGAGATTCGTTTCGGTCGGATGCGAAGGCAGACCGAACTCGGACAGGTGTACGAAAGAAAATACGAATAGGTTCAGGGTATCGGTTACAAAGCTGGCCAAGAGTCGACCCTTTAGACTTTGGAGGGCCCGGTCGCATCAAGACCGTATTGTTCGTCGAAGAAAATTTACGAATGGCAAGCGCGCGCGGCTGGTGGTTACGAGAGTCCCTCGACGATTTATGCCAGGTACCGAGGAAAATCCCTCGCCTGCCGCGATCCTCGGACGTTCTCGTCCTTGCGTCTCCGCGTTTCTTCGCTGGCCGTATCGCGAACGAAAAGACGTTGCCACGGCGAAACGCGATCGTAAACGCGTCTAGGCGTTTCGTCTCGATAGACACAGGAAACAGGAATCTCCAGCGAGATCGCGAGAGTTAATGGACCGGAGAAAGAGAGAAAGAGAGAGGGAGAGAGAAGCGTCGAGAAAGGGGGCGGGGGAAGAGAATCGATTCGGCGCTTCGGATATCGTGCGTACCGGCCACGAAATATCCAGCTGTTGGGTCGTTCGAGGTAATAATGGTGACGGCCGGACAACGGTTCGATGACCCAGGTGGTAAAGGAATT